TTTTAATGATGCAAAGAAGACTTGATAAAAGCTACATATGAAATTAGGAAAAATGATCACAAGGGACTAAGGCCCGATTCAGTTCACCTAAAAAAAAAATATTCAGTAAAAATAATTTCAGTTCAGTAAAAATAATTTAATTTCAGCAAAAATAATTTTAATTCAATAAAATTAATTTCAGTTCAACAAGGGCCTAAATTAGAACATTTTTTTTTTTTGAAGAAACCAGATCATATAAATATACACAAATAAGACAATAAATTAGTCAATATAATGTTTGCAGAATGAACTTAGATTACACAAAAGTGTCATAAAAAAGTTGACAATTTCATATCAAAGTACAAATTGAAGCAAACCATTCTTCAAATCAGAACTTGAAGCAATGATCATCCTGCCGGAGAGCTCAATCCGACAGCTCGATGAAGTTTTTGTACTTTAGTTACAGTAGCGTATGAAGCTTGTCCAAAACAGTAGCATTACTTAAATTGTGTTGTACTCCGTAGCAATTTGATCTTTGATCTCAATTGTCGTCGTGATCCATCAGATCATATATATGATTATAGCCTTTAAAGTTGCCTAAGCAATGACCTGGTAATTGGTCCTTCATAAGGCCGAGTGTCATTGTAAAAGCTAAGATCCATTAAATTACGAAAGATTGGCACGTCGATCCCATCCAAACCATTAAGATAACTCAGCATATCAGCACCATAAGTAATAAAAACAAGGGACCTAACACAAGAAATCCCTTGAAGTAGCCCAAGAATTAGACTATAATACTCGTAATCCATATCAAAATCATCATCCTTTTCATCATCACTTGGCTCCTCAACTGAAATCAGCACCATTTGCAAATCAATTGGAGTCCTAACAAATTCATAAAACGCTAAGTACCCATGAATCTCACAGTGCTCCAGCTTCGCGGCATCAATAGCAAATCGACAAACTTTGGATCCCCAATCATTCATTCCTATAAACAAATTCTTCAAATTAGACGCAGATATAGCAAAACAATGAACATCTACAGTCAAATTCATACACAACTTCAAATCTTCCAACAACGGCAAAGACTTTATAAGGGTATCAATCAAATAACAATATGAATCACATACAAATAACGAGAGCTTCTTCAAATTAGGCAGATTAATAAAAGTAGTAGGAGCCTTAAACTCGATATAGCCAGGCAAATTCAAGTCTAATTCTATAAGTGACCGAGTTTCAAACACACAAGTAGGTATGTGAAACAAAAGAGATGAATAAAATCCATGAGAATGATGAAATCCTACATTAATTACTTCAGGCTTACGGCGACAAATTTGATGAAGCCAAGGAACAAAGCAAGATAATATCTGCGTTGATTTAGTTGATTGACGGAGAGAAATTGAAGGTTAAAAGTATGGATTTTAGGGGACGTGAGTTCGGAGAGGATGTGATCAACTGATGTTATGAAAGTACGGAAATCATGAAAGGTGGTTTCGAGGTGGGTAACGTGAGTCCAAAGGTATCGCCAACGACGGGATAAGACGGAGGTAGAGGCAGCGGTATCGATAGAGAGGAAAGAGAGTATGATGATGAGGAGACTATCTGGGAGGTCGCTTATTCTGTCTTCTTCCATGAATTTGATGGATCAAAACCCTAAATTGAAGATTAAAAGGGATTGAATTAAAATTTGATTTAATTATTGGGGAAAGATGATTAATTATGGTGTGGTGTTAGTTACAGATAATTTAATTGGATGAAAGAGAATAGAGAGGAAGAAAGCAATGGTGAATCGATGAATGGACAATGAAGGGAGAATATGAGAGATGGTACGGTCAGAATTTGATTTCCAGTCGAAATTGGGCGGTAATTTTTTTTTTTTTTTTTAATTTTTTATTGGAATTATATTAACTGATAAAGTGTTTGATCCAATTAATTGTATGTGGGAAGGGGTGTTAGCCATGTTTGGTGATTAGGGGAAAAAAAATTGATTTTCAGTTGACGCTAAAGGTTATAAAGTGTGACGAAAAAATCATCACATTATTATCCATGCTCTTAAATTAACTATTGGGAGCCGTGAATTTATCTACTATTGGAATTATACATTGTGCATTTTTTTTTTCAGTCGGAATTGAGGAAAATTGATCTATTACCCAATAAATTATCAATTATGTACAATTACCCAATATTATCAAGCAGTAATGCACTTGCTTAAAAAAAATTAAAATAAATTAATAAATAAAATCAAGCAGTAATGCACAATAATACACTTATGTTAGTTGGATCAACCAAAAATTTAAAAGTTACAGACCATGTAATCATGTATTATATATAATATATATATATATATATATATATGTATGTATATTATATATATATATGTATTATATATATATATATATATATATATATATATATATATATATATATATATATATATATATTATATAGGATTAGGATCATGTAAAAACAAGTCTTAGGGTGAAAACATGAAAACAATTAATCCCAGCCGTAGATTATAATCTAGCGGATGATATTTAATGTATATATATCCTAACTTTCTCTCTCCTCCCGCGAAAACACTTTCTCTTTCCTCTGTTATTTTCTTCCTCCTCTTCCTTCTCTCTTCACTTTCTCTCTCCTAATTTCTCGACATTAGCGAACTCCTTCAAGCAACACCGCTTCAATTACCATCAGCGAACTCCTTCAGCAACACCGCTTTAATTACTTTGATTTTTAGCAATTTCTCAGCTCTACGATCTATTATCAGGTGAGTTCTTTGTGGTAATTTCGCTATTTTTGCACGATTTGAGGTTATTAGGTTTCTGAAATTTTGTTTGCTGGAATTTCATGAGTACTTTTTTGTAGATTCAACCGAAAATTTAATGTCTATTATGTTTTTCGTGTATGATTTTTGTTTAATTTTGTAATTTTGCAAGTTTTTTTATTTTATTTTTTTCGATTTGATTTTATTTTTTGAATTTCAACTTAAGTTTCGTTTTAGTAGAAGTATTTTTAAATGTATTTTGTTTAATTTTTCTTAATTTAAGTAAACTAGGTTTTTATGTGTATTTTTGCTCGAAAATTCTGCTTTTGTTGTTCTTCTTCATCTTCTTAGTAACACGATTTTTGTTGAGCATAAATTTGTTTTTGTTGATTTCGAGTTTAGCTGATTTTTGTGGATTTTGATTTCGAATTAATGCCTGTTAGGAATGCGAATAGCTAAAATGCGAATTGTGTGTGTGTGTTTGTGTTTGGAGTAGTTAATTTGAATTTTGAGTAATTTGAAGTGTTTTTAGTGGATTTGTGAGTGAATTCGGGAGAGTTTGGAGTAGTTAATTCGAATTTTGAGTAATTTGAAGTGTTTTTAGTGGATTTGTGAGTGAATTCGGGAGAGTTTGGAGTAGTTAATTCGAATTTTGAGTAATTTGAAATGTTTTTAGTGGATTTTGTGAGTGAATTAGTGAGAGTTTGGAGTAGTTAATTCGAATTTTGAGTAATTTGAAGTGTTTTTAGTGGATTTGTGAGTGAATTAGTGAGAGTTTGGAGACATAAATTAGCTACACTGGTTCCTGCTTCCACTTGGTGTCCAACTCGATTTGTATTTTCCCGTGTTCCGTTTGGTGTAGGCAACAGGAATGGTCATCAATCTCTTGCTAATGATGATCTGGAATTGAGACCTGACCAACATGGTGACATGTTTGGAGATGGACTAACTGCCTTGGTTGCATTGGTGTTCCTTGATGCTGTTGTGTTTCTCTCTTACAACCTGTATTTTCTTATTTGTGATTTGAAGTGGTTTCAGCTGCATCAAATGTCATTAGGTTCCTACATGAATTATTTGCCTTTTGCACTTAGATAAATTTTCTGGTGTTTGTGATATTGATGCAAAGACTCTTTCCACATCAACGTAGAAAGAAAGAAAGAAAGAAAGAACATAAAGTATGAAGAATGCTTCCTGGTTTAAGATACTGACTTTGATTCTATATGTCCGATTTTTGGTGTTGAGTAGATTGCTTAAGCGACTAACCCAGGAGCTACAGACATCTGGGTGGATTTGTGATAGATTGCTTCTGATCATGCTAAATCGACATCTACATGACTTTCTTGACTGTTGAAAAGTGTACTTCTAGTCTGACATATGTGCATGGTTAATTTGACTCTGTACTGGATTTTGCTTCAAAATTTCTGAATTAGGCCTGTTTTGAACTTGAATCAAGGTAGCCAGAATTCGAGGATTTGGATACCTTAGTTTGATCTGATTTTCACTGCCCTGACCTGACCTGAATTGATTTTTTTATTCGTAAACAAATTGGTTGTCAAAAGACATAAATATGAATATGACCTGAACTTGTTCTAAACCAAACCAAAATAAACTGAATCTTTTTGGAGGGGTGTTGGACTATGTTATTTTTGAAGTTTTGTTTTAAAAAAAGGTCACTATGCCATAAAAAGAGGCAACTACTTTGGTTTCTTTTGTTTATCTTTTCGTATGTCTTGTTACAGGGTGCAACAAGGATTTTCATTCGATTTGGATTAGATTTTATTCCTATGGTGAGAACTAGAGGTGGTGCTACTTTTAAAAAAAGGAGAGGCCTTCGTAGCTCAACAGGAGGAGTTAAATTGAAAGATACAGGAGGTATGATGAATGTTTGATTTTTGGATTATTAACCTTAATATACTAGTTGCTCTATTATGATAGTCTCCTAATACTATAGAATGTAGGTCCCTATATTAATATAAAAGTTACTATATTATTAGTTCCCTATGTAACTGAAAAAGGTCACTATATCAATGACAATGATTATTATTTTTAAGTTATTAGTTTGCTATATTATAATTGTTTGCTAGATGAAAATGAAGATAATTGTATATATAACTATATGCTTGCGTGTTTTTAGCATGTATCAATCTCGATCATGAAGATGAAGAGCATATTGATGGTGGAAGCAAAATGATCGATGATGATACTAACAGAGATAAAGATGCTTGTATTGAAAAAGGATTGAAAAAGAAAGCTATCACTAAGAAAAAGAAACCTTCTAACATTGAGAATGCTATACCTTTGTCAACTGTGATGAAAGGAAAGAAGGGGAATGAGTCTTCTTCTTCACATGCTATTGTTTTGCCAGCTAAGAAGAGAAAGTTGGATGAAAATGAAGGTCTTAAAGTGAAGAAAGTGAAGGCAAATAATGATAAGAACATTGTGATTCATAGGCAAGAATCTGCAATCATAGATAGTGATGTACATATGTAAGTGAATATTTGTTTCTTTTTTTTGAAGTTTTGTTTAAAAAAAAGGTCACTATGCTATAAAAAGAGGCTACTATTTTGGTTTCTTTTGTTTATCTTTTCGTATGTCTTGTTACAGGGTGCAACGAGGATTTAAAACACGTTGCAGGCCATTTCATTTAGTAGAGATGATTAAAACTTTTTCAGATGATCAAATCAAGGCTGTTAAAGAAATTGGCTTTGGAGGTTTGTTATCTTTGAAGGTGAAACGAACTGCAACTGATATGCTATCATGGTTGGTAGATTGTTTTGATCATGGTAGCTGCATGTTTACTATTGATGGTAAAAAAGATTTTGTTGTGACTGAATTTGATGTGTATGATGTTTTTTGCCTTCCTTGCAAAACATCTAAGAAAGTTGAAGAAATTTCTCGTTGTGCTAATGTCATCAACCCTGATTATGATTTAAAGGTTAAATGGAGGTCTCATTTTGGTCTTATGGGTGAGAATGATCAGATTCCTTTGGGTTTTTTGGAATCTAAGATCCCTTTACTAGTAGATGGCGGGGAAGAATTCAGACAGCTTTTTATCATGCATGCTTTTTCAAGTTTTTTAGCACCTACGTCCAACAGAACTGTGGATTTGAGAATTGTAAAATGTTTGGTTGATGTTAATCAAATAAGAATTTATAATTGGTCAAAATATGTCTTAGATAGACTTTGTGAAGCCGTGAAGAGCTACAAAGAAGGAAATATAGAATGGTTTTGTGGTTGTGTTTTGATGTTAGAGATTATCTATTTTCATCGATTGAGGTTTAGGAATGTTGTGTTAAATTCTACAATACCTTTAATTCAACATTGGACTGATGTGGATATAAGAGATAGAATTAGAAATGAAAAGTTGTCCAAGGGTTTTGGGTGTGGAATTCTTGAGTTTGATACATATCCAGTGAGTGAGAAGTTGCAATTTGAGGATGGACAAGTTGTTTGTAATCAATTCAAGGAAGCTCCTGTGAATCAAACTTCTGGAAAAGAATCTGTTGTTTATGAAGGTGTCCGTAGCAATGTTAAGGGTGTTATTCAGTTTGAGCTACCTGCCAGTTCAATGTCTAATGAGGAAATCCGTTCAATTGCTATTGATGTAAGTATTTTACCCTTTAATTCTGTCTGTCTGTTTGGTTTTTTCTTTTTTTTTTTTTTTTTTTTTTTTTTTTTGTCACAAATTATTTTATTAAATCTAAGTGCTACATTTTTTTTTCACAGGAAGTTTATGAGAAGTTTTTGCTCATGAAAAGAGATTTAGAAGTGGTATCTAACTTCTACATGAATGAGTTGAAAGTGTTATTTCAGACTCGTAAATCTAATGATGCTTCAACTTCGACACCTCCAATGTCCCAAACTGATTTATTCTTTATGAATCCTCGTGTTCATGAAATTGTTGATGAGATTGTGTCTCTTGTAAATTGGGTAAGCAAAGTGCCTAATGGTTTGGATGATGATGATATTGATGATAATGGTGCACCTGCAAAAGAGATTAATGTTGTAGTTGGTGAGGTTCCAAGGATAGGTTTTGAGCATGTTTTGAGTAATGGAAAATCTAAATGCTCCCTTGCTATGGATGTTAGTCTCTTTGGTGATAAAGTTACATATGTAACTGAATATATGAAGTCAAGTAATAAGGATATGAAGGTTTTGGATGCAGTTGTCCAGGAACTTGTTGACTACTGCATTAGTGATTATCATGGTTTCGATCTCAAGTAAGTCATGTCATTGTTCTTTTTGTTATTTATTTTCAAATTTTAATAATAAGTGACTATGTTAATATACATGTGTCTTTTTATTTCCTTGTACAGTGAGGTGTTGGTATCTTTTGGCAAACCATTTGAGATTACAAGGAATGAATTCCTTTCATTAGGTGCACCGGCTATTGCTATATCTTCTGTTATTATTGATTGTTGGGCTATGTTGCTTAATGAAAACCAGAAGAGTAGTGCACATGGACCTCAAAAAACTATATTTTGGTGTTTCTCAAAGTGTAAGTATCTTTCGGCTATTTAGTTACTACATCATTATAATGGTAGTTGTTCATTATAAAAAATTCATAAATTAATTTCACTATGTATTGAAAACAGTCACTATGATTCATAAATTAATTTCACTATGCAATGAAAACAGTCACTATGTAATGCAAGTAATTACATTTAAGAAAAATAACTCTACCTTCTAATTTTTTTAATATTTATTAATGTTTGTTCTTTTTTAGGCTTTTTTACTGAAAGTTGCAAACACAGATAGTAACACACAAGACATTGACAAGCTATTTGACATTTGGTCAAGATGGTTGTTCATTCCTTGCAATGATTTTGATATTGCAAATGTTGAGTTGGTAATACATTGCAAATGTTGACAATCATTTTTCAACTAAGTACTTTTATATTAAGTTTTTCAAGCTTAATAGTTGTTTATTTATTTATTGCAGATATTTGTTCCTATACTCTTGAATGAGCACTTTTTCCTAATTGTTGTGAATTTGAAGGAAGAAAAGCTTCAGTTCATTGATAATATGAGTTATGATACAAAGTACATGAGTGAGGTTGAGAAGTTCTCTGATGTTCTGGTAAAAATATGATATTTTGGATTTTATTTGTATTTTTCTAGTTAGGATATGCTTCATGGAACCTAAAGTATTAATTTATTTTGCCTAGAGTGATATGCTGAGTACTTTTCTTGATCAACGCCTTCCTCAAAGTAATGACTCAGTGAAGAACATGATTGAGTATACTTTGGAGTCACCTTCTGTAAATTGGAAGTCTGGAAAACAGAAGAATAATGATAGTGGCATTTATACTATGGTCAGCATGCTTTACTTTGATGGAGCTGATGTGTTCGACTGCGATGTTTTGAAAACGGTTATCTCGTCTCATTTTTTTTATTTGGCTTTCAATTTTTATTATATTAACTATTTCCTCCATGGAATTTAACTAGCTTTTTTATTCTAATTTTTGCTTAAATTAATATATTAGGTTTCAACTAGACGGACATTGAGAGCTCAGATTGCTGCTACTCTGGTATTATCTGATATGAACATTGTTAGAGATGAAGTTCTTGAAAAGCTATCTGAATTCAGATTAATAAGGAGTCAAGTTGCAAAAGATGTTTTTGATGGGATTAAGAAGAAAACAAAGCAAGGTAAAAAGGAAAAGAAAGTATAGGCAGACTAACGAATATGTGGATGAAGTTTTTTGCTCGGAAGTATTTGTATTTTGCACAGAAGTAGGAAATCTAATGTAATGATGTAGTTTGCATCAACAAATGGATAATCTAACAAAATTGTATAAGTGTTAATATAGAACAATATGATATGATTCCAGTTCATACAAAGCTTTTGAATTGGTGGTATTGGTAGTTCTTTTGATATGTAATCTTTAATTGACATTCAAGAAGTTTAGTGAAATATATATTAGTTATAAATTTGGCGCCTATGTTATAAAAAAATGGTACCTATGTTATTTAAAAAGGTTTCTATATGATAAGGTCACTATGTATTTAAAAAGGTATCTATGTTATTTAAAAGGTTTCTATATTATAAGGTCACTATGTATTTAAAATGTTATTAGTTCAATGTGTTAAATATAATTAAGTTATAATGCAAAATTATCACCATATTCATTATTATATTTTGTATACATATGTGACAAGTTTTCAAAGGACCTATGATAAATATGTACCTAAAAATGTCTAACTTTTTTTTATCTCTTAAAAAAGAAAAAAAAAAACTTGAAAAAGGATATTATATTACTTTTTATAGTCATTATGTAAGTAAAATGGCATTATATGAGGTAAAAATTTCCAATTACTATGCGATGCAAAAGGATCACTATGAGATGCAAGAGCGTTACTATGTGATAAAAAAGATTTCTATAATAATCTGTCTCTATTTAAATAAAAGGTCACTATGTAAGGTAAAAGTGTCGTATTTATATTAATCTATTCTTAAGCTATTCATTTAGTATATCAATTAAAAGAACGAGCCCCTCCTTCCCTAACTTTGTATTGGCTTAATCGATGTGGATTAGAAGAATTGTTAAAATGTGAGTATTTTTTATACGGTTGTTATATCATAATAAAGGTCATTATATCACTAAAAAGGTTATCACGGAATAAGGTGTCAATACGATGAAAAAAAGTCACTATAACGTTAAAAACACATACTATAATATAAATTGAAGTTATCATATGCCAATATGTCACTACATCAAAATAACAATATAAAGGTCAATAAAAAGTTTAACAATAAAAGGTCACCTTATCAATAAAATTTTAACAATAAAAGGTCCCTGTTTAATATATGTGAAACAATAACAATCACTATATCAATAAAAAGGGCACTATAGCACTATGTTCTTTCTTTCCTCTCATCTCCTCTATTTCAGCACTAGGCTGTCAGTAGCCGATGTTGCTTCTTGTAAATATGAAGTGGTTTTGCAGCCTTTCTACTCTTCTTTGAAATCCTGAAATCATGTACACGAACATATATAAAGTGAAAATCTAGTGGGAAGTAAACATAGTACAAAATTTATTTATTTTTTTCTACAAAAATACCTCATTCAAGTTGGATTTTTTTTTGCGGACAATTCCGACTATCATGGTTTGTTCTCTGACCACAAGTTCTACAAAGTCTATCTTTCCTTTGGCTTTCCTCAATAGCTATCTCTTTGTCAGATTTTTTCCTTTTTCCACTACCACTACCTTTGTTGGAAGACTTGTTTGGAGGAAGAATATCAACAACTATGTCATTAGATCCAACAAATAATTCGATGTGTTTATTTTTTGCCTCACGTTTATCAACTGGACTTATAGAATCCAAGTCTTTCATCTCATTTTCAAAAGATATTAGCTTAGACAACAATGACTCTAGGCATTCAACTTTCTCCTCACAAAGACTTACACATGAAAAAAAACCTGCACCATAAATCACCAACTAGCTTTTGCTTCTTATCCTTCTCTGCCCCATCAAGCAAGTTGTTTAAGCCAAAAATTGGTTTCTTCATAGCTTCTTTAGTCCAACGATGTAAAACATATTGCCTTGGAATCTCAAATAAGAACTTTCCTTTCATGACAAAGAGAATGTGACGACATAATATTCCAACAGATTCAAACATTTTACAAGAGCATGAAGCATCATTAGAACACAAAACATATGTGACATGATAGCTTTTTTTCCTTGTGTTGTCAACAATTCTATATTGCTCAATCCCTTCTTCTTCTTTGATGGTAACATTACTTATACCACAATTGTACAAAGCATGCTTGAATTCCTTTTGGAATATGTAAAATACATTATGAGTGTAAGCAAATGCAGCATGCTTTTCCAAGTACAGGGGGGTGACAAGTTGGGGATGTGTAGTTTTTGAAGTAGCATTCAACTTGTCTTGTGTGTGCCTTTGAGCATCGATTGCAGATTCATAGCGAAACCACAACTCAACCAATAACAAATGCTGATTGGTGAAATTAGTGAAAAAGCTATTTTCACTCTCTGATCTTTGAGTTGACCTTAAAATCCCACCCATAAAAAGGTCACGAAAGTAGGAAGGAATCCACATATTCCTTATATTACACATATTTTTGAACCAATCTTCATTCACTAAATCAAATTCAGACATCACAGACTGCCAACCAATTTCAAATTCTTCTGGTTCAAGGTCTCTATTCCACACAACAGAGTTTAGTTTATGAAGAAAATCAGTTTCTAAGCATAATTTGGGCCCTACCTTTTGTGGCACTTTTTTCATAATGTGCCACATACAAAACCTATGTTTTGCCTTATCAAGAACTTTTTCAATTGCCACTTTCATCGCAGGGTCTTGATCTGTCATGATACAGGTAGGCTGACAGTTATTCATTGCCTTTAAGAAAGTTTCAAATAACCATTCAAAGGATTCAATATCCTCCTTTGCAAGTAAGCCTATCCCAAAAGTCACACACTTACCATGGTGATCAACACCCGTAAATGGGGCAAAAACCATAGAGTATTTGTTGGTGTCAAATGTTGTATCAAATGTAATCATATCACAGAACAACGAATAATTTTTTCTACTAATTGCATCTGCCCAAAATACTCTTGTCAAGCGTTGATGTTCATCCATACAATGCTCAAAGAAAAAGGCACCTTCACTGTTTTCAGCTTTTTCTTTCAAATTGTTTATAAACATCGAAGCATCTTTCTCTTGTATGTAAGCTTTCAAGTCTCGATTAAAGTTCTTGAAATCATTCAATGTTGCACCTATATTATCATAGCTACCAAGATGTTCTTTCATCAACTTATAAGACTTGTTTGGACCAATGTTCAATCTAGAGTTGTCAAAAATGAATTTTTTCTGGCCAAGTTTAAGGTTTCCAACATTTGCCAAAAAATTCATTGTGTTGGGAGAAGCAAGATTGTGGCTATGAGATTCATGAAAGACATAAACCATCCATTTTCCATCTGAACGTTCTCTAAACCCAATCATTGCATTACATCCAAAACGATTTATGGTTCTTTTTCTAGCTTTAGGATTTTTATCTTTGTTAGAAACTTTTGCTTTAGTTTCACCATCCTTCGTAAACCCTTGTTTATTACAATGTAAATATTTCAAGTAGACTTTATCACTATCTTTAATTCTCTTTTCAGTACCTAGTCTTACCACAAACCCACCAAATCTAGCATATTGCTTATAAAAATCAACACCTTTAAGTAAGGAATCAAAAAGCATACCAAGTGTAGGCTTTAGTTTAGGGGGACAACACGGTATAAACTCTTTTGTTCCTCTGGGAGTGTAACACACACTTGGGCCCTTTAGTGACGGTAAGTTTTCAGCAACATTGGTAGTTGTAGATGTATTTGAGCAACTACCTTCTTCTGACTCCTCTTGCATTGTCTGCATATAATATCAAATATATGGTTTAAAATGGGTACTATAATAAAATAATCCATTCCATGGTGCAACTAACTGGACACCAACAAAAACAGTCTAAAATATATGGTTATGGTATCATAAAAAAGAGTTACTATATGGTATTAAGCAAGGTGTTAGTCATTTAAGCAAATACACAAACACCTTATGTGCAACAATTTCTCCTAGTGTTTAATATCATATATCCAGGAAAAAAAAACTTTAATATAAAAAAAATATATATATATTGCAAATATTTATACAAAAACGAAAAAAGAGCATATTGTTGATGAGGATTGAAACTACAAGTTGATGAGATTGAAACTAAAAAACAGAGCACTATTATAAAAACAGTCTACAATAATCACATACAAGGAAATAACCTACCATGCGCAATCAAATAGAAATTCAAGAAATTCAGCTTATATACAAGGAAATAATCACAGTTATATCGGTATTGTAAGCCGCAATCAACTAGAAATTCAGCTAAAAACAGAAATTAAAGAATGAAGAACACTTACTAAGATTATTGAGGAAGCCCCAAGTTATTGAAGAATCACGAGCCCTCAATTTTGGGAGTAAATAATCAAAGTAGCCCTAAAATTTGACGAATTGAGGAATTGACGATTTGATAATGAGATGAAAAGAGGATTTGCTGAGATTTGCTGAGATTTTGCGTTTTTCAGCAAAATTAACAGAGGATTTGCTGAGATTTGCTAAGATTTTGTGTACCTTGTATTTCAACCGTTAGATTATATCATTAATAATCAATGGCTGAGATTTGCTGTTTTTAGTTTTCACCATAAGCCCTGTTTTTAGCGGAACCCTCCCGTATATATATATATATATATATATATATATATATATATATATATATATATATATATATATACATGAGTTTATTAGATATTAAAGTTTGAAACTTTAATTTATTTTTATTCAAAAAAAGTGACACATATTGTGTTTATCTGTTGTTCCGTCCCCAACATGGAGGAGGTGAGCTGGAAGAGGATGTGATTGATGGTGTTCATGGAATCCCAGAAATCATGGTCGTGTCTCCAAACTTTCCATGGTTTAAAGGAAAAGTGGGTGATGTGTGTCCAGAGGCGGCGCCAACGGTGGGTTATAAGACGGAGGTGGCAGCGGCGGAATTGATTGGAAGAAGAGATAGTATGGTGATTAGAAGAGAATCAGGCAACGAGCTTGATCTGTCATTGATAATGTCGCTGTTCATCTTGATTTTGGTGCACCGAGTTAGTGCTTCAATCTAATTCTTTTATTCAAATCAAATGAACAGAATACAAGGATAAAAAATAATGTTAATTTTTTCAAAGAAAAGATAAAAATGGTTTTAGTGTTTTTTTTTTTTCGATTAAACTATTTAACTTACAAAAAAATCCATATAAATCTTTAAGTGATTTTTTTTTAAGTTAAATCTTTTAGCAATTAAAATAATAATTCTTTTCCATCAAATAAATTTGAGATAGTAAAAGTATAATAAACCAAGGGTGCAACGGAAGAGTATATATGGAGTACTAACCCTAACCCAAAGCTAGCGTTCTTTAGACTCGGATTACAGAAATAAGACCAAATAATATCCTAATCTTCAACTCTGAATTAAACTAAATACTGTAAAATCACAACAGTTTCTTATATGCACTACATCCCAGAATCCAGAGCAAACAAGGAAGGTGTGCGCTTATCAATATATACTTTGTATAATGTAAACTCTTTATGTACAACCCCAAAAACCCGATCTGTTCATGTGATACGATATGATAGTATCTACACACAAGCATTTACGCGGAAAATCATAATTAAGTGCGTGCATTGTAAAGACGATAATCTGCACTTGAAAGGTATAGAGGAAAAGGGATCAAACTAACCTATTAGGCTATTATACTGGGCAATTTCAAGAAAATTATAAAAATTATTCACAAAATTGTTTTAATGATGCAAAGAAGACTTGATAAAAGCTACATATGAAATTAGGAAAAATGATCACAAGGGACTAAGGCCCGATTCAGTTCACCTTAAAAAAAAATATTCAGTAAAAATAATTTCAGTTCAGTAAAAATAATTTAATTTCAGCAAAAATAATTTTAATTCAATAAAATTAATTTCAGTTCAACAAGGGCCTAAATTAGAACATTTTTTTTTTTTTTTGAAGAAACCAGATCATATAAATATACACAAATAAGACAATAAATTAGTCAATATAATGTTTGCAGAATGAACTTAGATTACACAAAAGTGTCATAAAAAAGTTGACAATTTCATATCAAAGTACAAATTGAAGCAAACCATTCTTCAAATCAGAACTTGAAGCAATGATCATCCTGCCGGAGAGCTCAATCCGACAGCTCGATGAAGTTTTTGTACTTTAGTTACAGTAGCGTATGAAGCTTGTCCAAAACAGTAGCATTACTTAAATTGTGTTGTACTCCGTAGCAATTTGATCTTTGATCTCAATTGTCGTCGTGATCCATCAGATCATATTATATGATTATAGCCTTTAAAGTTGCCTAAGCAATGACCTGGTAATTGGTCCTTCATAAGGCCGAGTGTCATTGTAAAAGCTAAGATCCATTAAATTACGAAAGATTGGCACGTCGATCCCATCCAAACCATTAAGATAACTCAGCATATCAGCACCATAAGTAATAAAAACAAGGGACCTAACACAAGAAATCCCTTGAAGTAGCCCAAGAATTAGACTATAATACTCGTAATCCATATCAAAATCATCATCCTTTTCATCATCACTTGGCTCCTCAACTGAAATCAGCACCATTTGCAAATCAATTGGAGTCCTAACAAATTCATAAAACGCTAAGTACCCATGAATCTCACAGTGCTCCAGCTTCGCGGCATCAATAGCAAATCGACAAACTTTGGATCCCCAATCATTCATTCCTATAAACAAATTCTTCAAATTAGACGCAGATATAGCAAAACAATGAACATCTACAGTCAAATTCATACACAACTTCAAATCTTCCAACAACGGCAAAGACTTTATAAGGGTATCAATCAAATAACAATATGAATCACATACAAATAACGAGAGCTTCTTCAAATTAGGCAGATTAATAAAAGTAGTAGGAGCCTTAAACTCGATATAGCCAGGCAAATTCAAGTCTAATTCTATAAGTGACCGAGTTTCAAACACACAAGTAGGTATGTGAAACAAAAGAGATGAATAAAATCCATGAGAATGATGAAATCCTACATTAATTACTTCAGGCTTACGGCGACAAATTTGATGAAGCCAAGGAACAAAGCAAGATAATATCTGCGTTGATTTAGTTGATTGACGGAGAGAAAATTGAAGGTTAAAAGTATGGATTTTAGGGGACGTGAGTTCGGAGAGGATGTGATCAACTGATGTTATGAAAGTACGGAAATCATGAAAGGTGGTTTCGAGGGAGAAGTGGGTAACGTGAGTCCAAAGGTATCGCCAACGACGGGATAAGACGGAGGTAGAGGCAGCGGTATCGATAGAGAGGAAAGAGAGTATGATGATGAGGAGACTATCTGGGAGGTCGCTTATTCTGTCTTCTTCCATGAATTTGATGGATCAAAACCCTAAATTGAAGATTAAAAGGGATTGAATTAAAATTTGATTTAATTATTGGGGAAAGATGATTAATTATGGTGTGGTGTAGTTACAGATAATTTAATTGGATGAAAGAGGAATAGAGAGGAAGGAAAGCAATGGTGAATCGATGAATGGACAATGAAGGGAGAATATGAGAGATGGTACGGTCAGGAATTTGATTTCCAGTCGAAATTGGGGCGGTAATTTTTTTTTTTTTTTTTTTAATTTTTTATTGGAATTATATTAACTGATAAAGTGTTTGATCCAATTAATTGTATGTGGGAAGGGGTGTTAGCCATGTTTGGTGATTAGGGGAAAAAAAAAAATTGATTTTCAGTTGACGCTAAAGGTTATAAAGTGTGACGAAAAAATCATCACATTATTATCCATGCTCTTAAATTAACTATTGGGGAGCCGGTGAAAATTTATCTACTATTGGAATTATACATTGTGCATTTTTTTTCAGTCGGAATTGAGGAAAATTGATCTATTACCCAATAAATTATCAATTATGTACAATTACCCAATATTATCAAGCAGTAATGCACTTGCTTAAAAAAATTAAAAATAAATTAATAAATAAAATCAAGCAGTAATGCACAATAATACACTTATGTTAGTTGGATCAACCAAAAATTTAAAAGTTACAGACCATGTAATCATGTATATATATATATATATATATATTATATATATATATATATATATATATATATATATATATATTGTTAAGATATATATGTAAATATATTCTGTTACTGTATTTTAGCTAAGCATATATTTAGATTGATATGATTGTAATTAGTTCCTAAATAGGTGCCTTGTATTATGGCTAGCATTATGCGGCTACATTGTATATATTGGTAAGTCAGTGAATGAAATCCCTTGAGGAAAATATTCCATAAACTCTTTCATGGTATCAGTTGCCTAGGGCACAATTTCCTTCATCTTCCGCTGCTTTCCTCGGCTATTGTTCTATAGCTCACGTTTTCTTTCCATCTACTCTTTTCTCTTCTCTATTCTTCACCATGGGTGAATCCAAGTCTCAATATCACCCTGCTCTTGCTGTCACTAACATCAAGGCACACATTCCCATTACTCTCGAAATGGCAAATATGCAATACTCTACGTGGGCGGAGTTGTTCAAGCTTCACGCAAAATCTCATCGGGTCCTTCACCATATCATTCCCCCTGCTGCCGGCAAGGAGAAAGTTCCGTC